GGGCGGGGCGTGTCTTGATGGCTGCTACCCTGGCGCCCCTGGACCCCAGGTCTAATTCCTGGTTGGTGTGGCGCTGAATCATACATCATCAGAGTAGTAATATCTACCTTGTAGCAGGATTCTTGCACACAGAGTCCTGACACTGAGGCCTTTGTTTCTAGAAAACAACTTTATTCCTGCTAGCACCACTCAGTTGGGTTCGTACAGTAAGAACTGAGCCCTGAATGCCACGTGGTATAGTTTTTATATATTTTTTTCTCCTTTGTCTCCCATATATGGTAACACAAACATGCAGTCTGATTAAGTTGTCTCATATTATGAGGTCCTGAGGGATGTTGTCAGGAACCAGTATAGACTGGAGACAGACCACACAACCAGGGGAGCCAAGCAAGGTACAAGGTACGATTAAGCAACCTCCCAGAATTAGGTGGATAATTTTATGAGAGTTTTGAATCCCCCCAAAATTGAAAAACATCTTCCAAATAACTTCCTAGGGTTTTAACTGTTCCAGGGCTGGACGGGAACAAGAGCAATTGTTTTTGTTTGATTTGTGATCGCCTCTATGACTTTTTTTTCATTACTTATCTGTAGGCAGCAGTTGTTTAGGTTAAACTTTTTACAAATCTCTCTCAGAAGCAAGCAGGTAATCTAATGCCAAGTGATTTTGATAGGTAGCATTGTGTGTTTGGGTTTGCTGCTTGGCTAGTAAATTAAGAGCTCTGGGAGTTTTATTGGTTATAATTTTTGTAACTGCTTTTAGTCTGATTATGCAGTTTAGCATTAAGTAGGAGTGCGGTAGCCCCAGGACCCATCCTCTGCCCAGGTGGCAAGGCCATAATGTTGGATTATACACTTGGGAGGCCATTTATCATCTTTTTAATTGCCAATTTGTAAGACATGCCACTTTTTTTTGAGTCTCTCTGTCCCCATACATTTGGACTCCCAAATGTTTCTCTCTGGCAAGTGGGAGCAGGAAGAAAGTTGGACAAATAGTTTCCAGCACATACGACCCTGACCAGATTGAGGGAAGTACTATATAGGCTGTCCTTCCACATATCTAGTCTAGTCCACCTGGGTCCCGCCATTTGATGACTTCGTTGACACTGTCCCAGGCCTCTCAGAGATGAGAGAAGTTAGACAGGGTGTGGGGATCTGGCTCAAGGTGATCTGAGGTCACCCACCATTGGGTTTTCCGGGCAGCTGAGTTATAAAATCTTTGGCCTAGGCATGTTAAGTTTTTGATAAAGATGACGATGAACTTTTTCCCCACCAGGCAAGACAGTTTTTCCCAATAATTGTGCTTTTGGGGAGCCAATGCCTGGTAGTGGTACTGGGGTGTTTTGTTTTACTATAAGGTTTGTGGGGATCTAATTTTCTAGTCTCTTACAGCCATTGTTTCCCCATGTTGGTACCAACGAAGTATCCTATACCCAAAAGGAAGGTGAGTGCTAACAGAAACCTCTCACCACATTTTCAGCCGGCCAGGGCAGCCTCTGCCAATCCTATGGCAAAGAGTAGAGCAAGAATCACAATAATAGTGAGAAACAAGGTGTGACAGTGCATCACAGTAAGGAAACAGATACAGAAAGCAAGGACAGTCTTTTGTTTCACCGGACTGTCAATTCCTCAAGCTTCTGCCATGCACAGATAGTCAGCTTCCTGAGTGACTAAAGCAGGGTTGTAGTCTCTTGGAGCCTCTGGAGTTGCAGATTGCTTTTTCCATATGGTTAGCTTGCATGGCATTGATGGATTAAGAATGCACTCCGAGTTTCGAGAGTAGTAGTAGTGAATCCGGGGACCCACTCTGCTGTAGTGAATCCAGGGACCCACTTCGGCTACCTTTACTGCAGTAGGGGTGGACAAAATGACACTGAACGGGCCCTCCAGAGGGGTTTTAGGGGTTGGACATTTCACTCCTTTAGCCATATCGCATCTCCTGGTTTAAAGGGGTGAGCGTCTGTGGTCAGACTCACAGGTAATCGCTCCCTGACCCAGTGGTGTAAGATGGTTAGGGTAGAACCAAGGGGCCCACATCTGTTGCCTTAGGGTTAGATTGCCTGTCTCATTTAGATCCCCCCCTTATGCTCTTGATAATGGGGGGGCACCATAAAGGATTTTCATTAAGGGGAGAACCCCATCTGTTGCTTTAGCCTCCCACCTGCAGCTCCAGTCTGCCTCCCTGGAGGTCCCTTATCTCTCCCTGCCTAATGTTAACGCCTTCCCTATTTCTTTCTCCCCTGGAATAGGGCCTGTAACTGCTGTTGGGGAACAGGGATGATGACCGTTCTGGCTTCTTCAAGCTGATAAGGGACAGTGTAGGGGTACACCAATTAAAGTCAACCCAAGGGTCAGTCCAGTGGCCCACAGTATGGTTTTACAGGAAGACTGGCAGACATAAGGCAACATAAAAGCAGACACAAGGAGAAAAACACAAAGTAAAGATTCTACTGACCAACAAGATGGCATCTTAAGATGGCGTCTACAGTTTCCAAACCTGTCAATCTAGGAGAGACCCTGACTTTGTAAACAACATATATCAGGGAATCTCTCATAACCCAGGTGATGGAGGAGCAGAAGCAGTAAGTAACCAATAGTGGCTCTATTTCCAAGAGTTTGGCCCTAACTTAATTTTTAAAAAATGTTCAAGCATCTAATGCTTGTGAGGTGTTATTTAGAGTTTTGCTGAGTATAAGCAGACAGTCTGCTTTATTTTGAGGTGTAAAACTTTTCCAAGAGCCAGGAGTTCTGCTAGAGAAAGAGGCAAGGCATCCATTTACCATTATAAATTTGTAAATTTTTAGGTAAGCCAAACCTGGGTATTATTTTATAAAGCAAAACTTTTATTACTTTCTGTCCATTTTCTGTCTTGTAGGAGAAGGCCTTTACTCAATTAGTAATAGTATCAATCCATACCAACAGATGGTGGAATTCCTTTGACCTTGGCAGATGAGTGAAACCTAATCGTTAGTCTTTCCTGGATAGTCTCCAGTTCCTGGATTGCCTGGGAGAGCAAGTTTGTGGTTGAAAGGATTGTTTTTAAGACATACCTTGGGGTACCTGGGTGGCTCAGTTGGTTAAGCGTCCGACTTCAGCTCAGGTCATGATCTCATGGTGCTTGAGTTCAAGCCCTGTGTCGGGCTCTGTGCTCAGATCCTGGAACCCGTTTCAGATTCTGTGTCTCTCTCTCTGCCCCTCCCCTGTTCATGCTCTGTCTCTCTCTGTCTCAAAAATAAATAAACATTAAAAAAAAATTTTTTTTTTAATTAAAAAAAAAAAAAAAAAGACATACCTCACAGGCTGATACTACTTGCAGATCTTTTAGCTCTGTGAGCTTGGTAATAGCAATTGCCCTGCTCTGTTTGTAACCATTCCAAGGGCTGGAGACAGTGTCTAGGAGTCAGACCCCAGTTTATTTTTCTGGGAGACTAGGTGGGATTGAGTTTCCTTTAATAATTGATACAGCAGGCAAGTTATTTTCCTGAACCCTGGTACCTACAGCCTATAATATTCAGTAATTTTTCAAAACTCATACAATTGTTTATTCGTTCTGGAGTTAGTAGTACTATAGTCTCTAATTTAGTTATAATGTCCTTTCCTAGCAAGAGAGTAAGGCTCTCTGATATTACCAAGAATGAATGAGAAAAAAATTAGTTTTTCCCATATGTATCCCAGGGACTGAGAGACAAATTTAGTTATAAGTTTTCTGGAGATGCCTCTAATCGTCATGCTGCTTTTGGATAGTTGGCCTGGAATGGAAAAGAGGACAGAAAAAGCTCTGGTGTTAAGAAGGAAATCAACCAGTTTTCCTTCTATATTTAGAGTTACCTGAGGCTCTGAGTTTCTGATAAACAGTTGGTTTAGGGGAGCCACCATGAAGAGCCCCAGGACCTGGTTAGACCCTTATCTGAGCTCTCACAGATAGAGGTCCCTGAGGGCACTCAGGTCTCTAGGGATTGTCTTCACTTAAGGGGCATGGCTTATGAGGTTTTCATTTTGATTGTCCCCTCTGAGGACTTTTTCATTTTAGTGCTCAGAACGGTCATAAAAATGGCACTTGGTTCCAGGACCTTGAGAAGTCTAGTCTGACATAGTATGTCAGGCCACAACAAGGCCTCAGGTTTTTGTTTTTTTTGTTTTTTTTTTTTAATTATTATTCTTATTCTCCCCTTGATCTTGGTTGTAATATACCCAACTGGCAGCTCATAAGAGCTCCTCCAGGGTCCTTTCCTAACCAACAGCAAGTTTTTGCAGTTTTCCTCAAATATCTGGGGCCAAGTGAGTGACAAATTTGACTTTTAGAATTGTCTCAGCCTCAGGTGGGCTAGGGGAGATAGCCATATATTTAATAAGAGCCTCCCTTAATCTTTCCAGGAAGGCCACCAGGATTTTATTTTGTGTCTGTAAAATAGTGGCTATTTTAGCATAATTTAAAGGTTTAACCTTAGACCTCCTGACAATATATAAAATTTTTTAAAGATTTTTTTTTTTTTACAAACTTTTTACAACTTTTCCTTTGCTTTTAGATTTTGATGTCTTTTTTTTTTTTTTTTTTTTTTTTTTTTTTTTTTTTCTCAAACAACCAGCCTCATTTAGGACAAATTTACTCTTTTTTAAATATATATCTACTTTTTTATATGTAGAGTTGTGTTTTGTTTTTTGTTTGTTTGTTTTTATTAGTCTTAACTATATTTAGCAGCATTTTAACTCTTAGAAACTTTAGTCTCTGGTGAAAACTAATTAGTAAACAATTGTGAACTGTTACATTAGAATTTCTTAGATGGCAAACTTATGAATCAATTAAGCACAAAGCATGTTTTTCAACAGATCCAAATATCCTTGGTTTTTCTGCAACAAGTCAAAAGCACAGACCTACATCTAGTAATTAGTGTTTTAGCCTCTTGTTAAATATCCAATGAATATAATCCCAACTTATCTTGCAAGCAAAAATTTTAACATTTTACCAAAGACTTCGAAAGCTATCTTAACAATTACCCAGGAAAACTATGAGACAGACCAAGTTAACCATTACTTTAAGTCACCTTTTTGCTAACAAATTGGAAGAGAGGTAACATGAGCTTATTTGACCTTCAGCAAATCTAGGTAGAATAAAAGTTTTTTTTTTTTATGTTGAAAAACATTGTCTATCTTGAGCCAACAGAGTTAAATTAGCTTAAACACTGAATATGTTTTACTTGGGTCCATTTAAGACAATTTGTTCCCCATGGTTAATTTTTACCTAGAGCATTGGTGGGGAAATCTGAAATGGGTGGTCTCTGCTCCATGACCTCTAGGGTGGCAGGAGGAGCTGATGGTGCCTGAGGCATTGAGGAGCCAGTTATGTAGGCCGTACCCCAGGTAGTACAGAAACAGGAAGGGGGGAAGGGCAGGCAGAAGAGGCAAGGTGCCAGCAAAAGGCAGAGAAAGAATTCCCAGTTTTAAATCTTGTCAGTTCAGACAGAGGAGCAGACTCCAGGTTTGTTTTGTTTTGTTTTGTTTTGTTTTCCACTAGTGGAATTAGGCAGTCCACGTCAGTCTGGAGAAGACAAGGAATTTCCTTGAAACAAAAGGAGTTTTGGCAGCTGCTTGGGAATATTCCTTAAAGTCCCCGTTCTGAGGTAGAATAACCAGAGACAGTCGGCTCTAATTATCATAGTCATTGATCCAGGAAATAAATGACAGACAATTTGCCACACATAGTCACACAGTGACTCCAACCTGCTGCCCAGCGCCCAGGGCCTTAGAGTTGCAACTTCGTTCCTCATCCCTTGTGGAACTGCTAGGGCCACTCTGGGAGGTGATCAGGCTCCTTTTCTGCCTCTTAGGGGCAGGTCTGCCAAAACAAACCCAGGTTCTTACTAGTCTGATAGGCGGCACTCCCTGAGCTGGTTCCTGGGCCTCACAGGTTCCGTTGGTGCACACAAGGTCCTTGCCCTGGTGGTCCAAGAGGGCTAGTCTCCTGTGGATCAAGTGGTCTGCTGGTGCCAGGTGAGGCCCACCTCTCCTGGCACTCCGAGGTTTGTATCCCTGCGGCCAAAGAGGCAGCAAATGCACTGTCTCTGAATCCCGGACGAGCCCCCAAGTAATGTAGCGGGATTCCCACACAGAGAGTTGTGACACCGAGGCTTTTCTTTCCAGGAAGCAACTTTATTCCTGCCGGCACCACTCAGGTCATTCGTGCCCGAAGAACTGAGCACCACTTGGTGTAGTTTCTATATATTTAAACATTAAAAAATAATAATTTAAAACTCAGCCTCCCTTGTCCAGGGGCAAAGCACCTGAAATCTAACAAAAGCAGCAGCTTCCAGGCAGCTGTGACTTTCTTGCAGGATACACTGCCCCCTATCGCTGAGAGGCAGCTTGGCTCTGCCGGTTGGACGGTTTGCTTTTCTTGCA